GTTCCTTGGATTGAGTACCGCATGCAGTTTGATTCTCGACTGCGTAAGAAGAGAGGTCTTCTAATTTTATGTCTCTGTATGAGTGCTTTAACTATTTTCGCAAAGGAAGGACTTAATACAGTCTGGTCCTTCGCTGTACCTGTTGCTTTCTTTCTCGTACAGACTGCAGCCCTTGTGTCTTAGCATATACGAGAAACGGGTCCTCTAATCAAAATTTCTTCTATTTATAACTTGCTTTAACAAGCAGTTCGCGATTATTAATCTATTGGAATTACCTTTTTTGAGAGAACTTTTTCTATTTGCTTGATTAATTGCAAACTCGGTGCATTCCAGCTGGTCCAGTAGTACGCGAAGCTACCGTCACGCATTTCTCATTAATTTCATTTTCTCTGGCGACTTCTGGTCGTCGCCAACTTTTCACGTCTTTATTTCGACAGAACTGTACTTAGGAATTGTTCACCCTTAGTACAACACACGTTTTTAAAGAAAGTTGGCCTACAATGAGAATACAACGTATATTTTGCATAACTGAATCTAAAAAATACGCGCAACTTCAAAGAAGATAAAAGTCGGGTAGCGGGCTCCCGTTACATGTCCAAGAAGCTTGGATTTGATTGGCAGCAACGATAAGGTTATGCATCACGAGGTGGTTTTCTTGACTTTGGCAACATGAGGATGCCAGAAACTTTTTACTGGCGCTTTACTAACACTAAATTTCGAATTGTTCACTTAATTATGGTTTTTTTCTGCTAACTACATACATAGCTGGCAGAAAATCCAGTACCACTAAAGGCAAAGAAGCTCCTCATTAACATTCTTATATTTTTAACCACTGGGCAACTTTAATAAGCGTTTCTGGAGCCCAGCATTAATGGTGTTGCACTTCTATTTGCATTGTGGTTTTTTTAACGATCATATATGACCAAAAATAAAGAAGGGTGTTTGGAATGCGTGTCTTAATAAATGCAGTCGCTTTATTGTTTTATAAGTTACCGATATAGCACTACCTGAGTAATTGCGTAAGAAAGTTGGTCGCGTCAGTCTGACGGGAGATAAACAAAAATGAATGAGTTATACGTGTCAGTTTTTGAATAATTGTATGGTGGTTCAATTTCGTATATTTCACTTATGCACAATAAACGATTGATAACAAGAACCTAAAATGATTTGCAAACAGAAATGTGCTATGTACTTAAATTGTGTACCAACAAACAACAAGGCCATTTTCGCTACACCGAAGGGAGGCAAGCTGGACACGACACAGCCGAGCTGGTGGACGCCATCCCCAACACAACTCAAATGGAATACGTGAATCAAGCAATTCAGCTCAACAGATCACATTCTCATCCATCCCCAAGGCCAGTGAAGAAACTCGTACGACTTTGCGAATGCGTCACTAGAAAGGGGGTACTGTAGTTTTTATTTATTTATGTATTTATTTATTTATTTATTGTCGGGGGTGAATTCACTGGGACGAATTTTCCGGGTCGCGTATTCTGAGCAAAAATCTGTTAGAAGCGAATTTTCAGGGGTGAATATGCTGGGAGCGAGTTTTAAACAACGAATTTTCCGGGCGAATATTTCAGGGATAAATTTCCCTGCGCAAATTTTCCGAGGCGGGTATTTTGTGGACAACTGTTCCGTAAGCGAATTCTCAGGGTCGAAATGGGGAAAATTGGTTGAGCCGAATTTTCTGAGGGAAATATTCTTAGGGGATCTTTCTGGAAGCGAATATTAACGAGCAATTATTATCGGAGCCAATTTTCGGGGGTGACTTCACCAGAGTGATTGTTCGGGGTGAGTGTTCTAAGAACGAATCTCCTGGAAGCGAGGATTAAGGGGCGAATCTTACGGGGGACATTTTGTGATGCGCATTTTTCGGAGCTATAATTCTAGAAGCAAATTTTCAGGTGAACATTTTCCGAGGACAAATTTTCTGAGGCGAATTTTCCTGGGAAAATATTCTTAGGGGACTTTTCTGGAAGCGAATATTTAGGGGTGAACATGCCCGGGGTGAATTCACCTGAGTGAGTTTTCCGGGGCTAGATTTCTGAGAAAGAATCTACTGGAAGCGAATCTCGACGGGACTCTTCTGGAGGGGAATATCCCCGGGGCGAATTGTCGGGGGTGAATTCACCGGAACGACTTTTCGGGGTCGCGTATTCAGAGCAAAAATCGGTTAGAAGCGAATTTTCAAAGGTGAATATGCTGGGAGTGCGTTTTCTGCAACGATTCTTCCGAGCGAATATTTTAGGGACAAATTTACCTGCGCAAATTTTCCGAGGCGGGTATTTTGCGGACAAATGTTCTAGAAGCGAATTTTCAGGGGCGAAATGGGGAAAAATTTTTGAGCCGAATTTTTTGGGAGAAATACTCTTAGGGGACCTTTCTGGAAGCGAATATTAAGGGAAAATATTACCGGGGCCAATTTTCCAGGGTGAATTCACCAGAGTGATTGTTCGGAGCGAGTGTTCTGAGAACGAATCTCCTGGAAGCGAGTTTTCAGGGGCGAATCTTACGGGGAAATTTTGTGATGCGAATTTTTCGGAGCTATAATTCTGGAAGCGCACTTTCAGGTGAAAATTTCCCGAGGGCAAATTTTCTGAGACAAATTTTCCGGGGAGAATATTCTCAGGGGACTTTTCTGGAAGCGAATATTCAGGGGTGAATATTCCCGGGGTGAATTCGCCCGAGTGAATTTTTCGGGGCGAGTATTCTGAGAAAGAATCTTCTGGAAGCGAATGTTCAGTGGCGAATCTTCCGGGGACACCTTTTCTGAGGCGAATTTTCCGGGGAGAATATTTCGACGGGACTCGTCTGAAGGGGAATATTCCAGGGACGAGTTGTCAGGGGTGAATTCACCGGAACCAATTTTCCGGGTCGCGTATTCTGAGCAAAAATCTGTTAGAAGCGAATTCTCAGGGGTGAATATGCCGGGAGCGAATTTTCTGCAACGAATTTTCCGGGCGAGTAATTTCAGGGATAAATTTACCTGCGCAAATTTTCCGAGGCGGGTATTTTGGGGACAACTGTTCTGGAAGCGATTTTTCAGGGTCGAAATGGGGAAAATTTTTTCCGCGGGAAAAGCGAAAAGCGAATTTTCAGGTGAATATTTTCCGATGACAAATTTTCTGAGACGAATTTTCCGAGGAGAAGATTCTTAGGACTTTTCTGAAGCAAATATTTAGGGGTGAACATTCCCGGGGTGAATTCACCTGAGTGAGTTTTCCGGGGCGAGAATTCTGAGAAAGAATCTGCTGGATGCGAATTTTCAGTGGCGAAATGGGTAAAATCTTTGAATCGAATTTTCTGGGGGAAATATTCTTAGGGGATCTTTCTGGAAGCCGGGGCCAATTTGCGAGGGTGAATTCACCAGAGTGATTGTTCGGGGTGAGTGTTCTGAGAAAGAATCTCCTGGAAGCGAGTTTTCAGGGGTGAATCTTACGGGGAAATTTTGTGATGCGAATTTTTCGAAGCTATAATTCTGTAAACGAATTTTCAGGTAAGGAGGGAAAATTTTCTGAAGCGAATTTTCCGGAGAGAATATTCTCAGGAGACTTTTCTGGAAGCGAGTATTCAGGGCCGAACATTCCAGTGCGAATTTTTGGGAGCGAATTCACTGGAACTAATTTTCCGGGGCGCGTATTCTGAGAACGAATCCTCTTGAGGTGAATTTTCAGGGGCGAATTTTCCGGGGGCACCCATTATTGAGGCGAATTTTCCGGGGAGAATATTCTAAGGGGCTCTTCGGGGGGCGCATATTCAGGGGCGAATATTCCGAGATAAAACTATTTTTCAAATTTTGACAACACAACAACAAAAATTTATTAATCAACGTTTGCCATTAATACATTTAATTCATAGGATTGATATTTCATATTGACAGACTTTGCTAATCAAAAGTTTTTGTCAATTTTTGAAACATTACGTAATATATGCTACCAAGTGAATAAACAATGAAAAACGTCTGTCAATGTGCTAGTGCCCTATTCTCTCCAAACCATTTTAAAATTGATGGCAAACGCTAATAGTAATAAACATTTGTTTTTTGTGTTGTCAAAATTTGAAAAATTACATAAAAATAGGTTGCACCGCTTAACAAACGTATGATATACGTTTATACGCTAGTCCTAACCTATGCAAAGAGAAAATTGCGGTGACAGACGTATACTACTCATCGCACAAAATCTGCCGTTATTTCTTGATCTAAAAGTGATTTATATAAGCGCTACTTTTTTCAAAAACGCGTTAACAACTGAACAACCACGCAGTGTCTAATTCACTAGGCCAAACTTGCTTAAGATCCCTCTAGAGCATCTCTGTATAAAGATAAATACAATAAAACAAATGATTGAATAAATAAAAGAAAACATATGTTGCACAAAATCGAAATCAAAAATTTGTATTTTTACAGTGTACATAAGCAGCACATGAGCACGAAATTATTGTAAAAGTTCAATATGAATACACCACACACAATTGCAGCCTTGGAGAGAGTGGGTATTTGCGCCATGGAGAAAAAATAAAAAGTACCTAAGTAATATTATTTAAGTTTGCTCATTCCTTTGCTCTTTCATTAAGTATGGAAAGGGTTCAAAAGCAAGTGTGTAATTAGTGCTAATTAAAACATCTTAAAAACAGTTACATAATTACTTTATTAGTTTTTTTTACATAATCCGTCCATAAACATATAAGAATTTAATAGATTACGTTTTTGACATTAATATTTACATCGTCATATGTCATTTGGTTGGAGGTGTCTTTGGCAAAAGAATACATAACAATAAAATCAAAAGTAAAAGGCCATCAATAGCTTAACTCTTACTTAAAATGTAATCGTTCGACGATGATATAATATACGAAATATTGTACAAAAGCATATACCTTATATTAGTACTTTAAAGTTCTATACTCTAAAAAAGTTCATTCTTTAGTGTATAGTGTTAAAGCAATTTATTGTCATTTCTCCGAGCTTAATGCGTAAATTAGAATTTTAACGAGTAATAAACTTAGCGGCAAATTACCTATTTATCAATTTGCAACTCATTCTACAATTCTTTTTTAGTTTGTTATTATTTACATATAATTCTCAAAATCTAAACTAACTTAAATTTGAAATAGGGATTAGATGTTAATTACGTTTTACGTCATACAACTAGCTCGAATGACAATTTTGCTCCCGTAATTATAATGTATAATATTATAATAGACATAGTAGCGATAAGGAAGACATTTTTTTGGCCTTTATAGCCCGCGAATCATTTCCTAACAACATTTTTAATCATTTTTTAAAGCTAAACAACTAATAATAATATTTAATTAGAGAACTCACCACTTCCTAGCCGTATTTGTCCATTTTACAAAAATATAAATACCTAATATTATCATGGTTTAAAATAGAGCTACTCAATTTGCGTGGTTATGTATCTTTTACATTTTCCATCGTTCCTTTGCTTTATAAAAATAAATTTTAAGTGTTTAAATAAATTAGGTTCGTACTATAGCCGCTTGGGGGCGTAAAGGTTTTAGCGGGATTATCTGAATTGGGATCGTTATTGCTTGGGGATATGTCGAAGCGGCTATAGATGTTTTATTAATCAAAATGATTGTTTAAGTGATTGTATGTAACATTTTATCAGAAGCCGGTGGAACAAACGCAATGCCTACATTATCTACACCCAACATTAATATTGTAGATACATTATCGAGTTTAAAATCGTGTGCGTTTGCATCGGACGCGTCCTCTGCAGACGCCCACGAGACAATTCACTAAACACAGATCATTTACTGAAGAAGTGTTTCAATAGTAATTGACGCAATGAAATGTGTGCCCTAAAATTAACAACAATTAAATCGTTACATCGCTATTAGTATACACTGAAAAATTTTAAGTTAGTGTGCGTGAGAAGTGCAGATTTAAAAATCAAGATAGTTGTGCGTATAGCAAAAAAGAAACGAGATTTAAGTCTGTTTTATACCCTGCTATTATAAGATGAGTAAGTAATAACACAGGACATCTTTTAGTGATTGAACTTTGAAGGTTTTTGGGAGTTCCTAATTAAAAGATCTGTAGACTAAGGTCTACAGAACCAACATAAATTCCATTATCAATGAAACTGGAAGTTGTTGACTTAAGAGGCAGATAGTATCAAAAATATTTAATAACAGGTACAAATATGTATGTAGGTCGAAAACAGCACGAAACTAGCAATGACACATTTTCTTTAAATAGATGTAGCTATACATAGTTGAAGAAATCAAACAGTTTTGAATAATGAAATGATACTATGAATTAAATTCGATAGTGATAGCCAAACAAGTCAAAATAATAGCAGCAAAATTTTCAAAAAGCAGCACAGCATAGCACATTGCACATATGATACGTAAATGAAAAATTCATAAATGACGCGATAAATTCACATAACAGTAAACGTCCGAGATAAAGATGACTCTGAAACAATGGGTCAAAGTAGCACAAAATCATTATAATGGGCATAAATGATCTTATGGTCATAATGTCTTATAGCAAAAATTCAATGACACAAAAACAATTCATTGCAAGTTATCTATCATAAAACAGAAATAGCATCAAATCTCCTAACAAGGAAGCAAAAGACTCAAAACGCTAAAAACAATGGCGGTGCATGGTATGATAGGGTAAATGTAGCACAAAATAAATAAAATTAGTGCAGATAATCTTAGATAATCTTCGGCAAAAGCAAAATTCTTCGATTTAAAATATTATAATCAGCCCAGAAACAATAGCAACACAGACAAGTTCCTATTTAAAAAAAGGACACAGTTAACACAAATGGCACAATGAATAAAATTTAAATGTTCTGACAAAGTGCAGCTCTAAATATGTAACTTCATGGCAAAGAGTGAATAATGAATTCAATAACCTCTGTAACTGTCAATAATAAAAAATAGCACAAATGGCTCTGGTTCGAAACAAAACCAGAATATCCAAAAATCATAAAGTCAAAAAGAATCAATTTACTCACAATTATCGCATCTTGAACATTGTTACTCAAGGAATTAAATGACCCAAATGCAATGGCAGCCCAAAATAGAAACATGGTAGCACCAAATTAGCACAATTGATTGCCTTGTTAATAGAATGACGTTTAGAATGAGTTTGGTGCTCCAAATATGTAAGTATAGTTTTATAACAAAAATATCAATTAACACAAAAACACTAGCAGAGAGGTATCTGTTATGGATCCATGAGTAGCACAAATTATCTTATGAATAGAAATGTGGGACCATACTTATAAGGTGGGAAATCCGTAACAAGAACAATAGCGGAATAATATCTTACTGCAGGTCAGAAGAAAATTTAAGCACTACAGGACTCCTACCTCCGGTCAAAAAAAGTATGTGTTTTCAACACCAAAAAATAACACAAACGACACTGTACCCTGTATATCTACGGAATTCCGTAATCAAAGAAACTCAAAATCAATAACTAAACAAAAGATGCATACCGTCAGTCAAAAATCACTAAAGATCGCACAAGAGATCAAACTGTAAAAGTAATAGCAGTAGGTACAGAACAAGTAACATAGCAATAGCAGCACAATCTGTAAAAAAATAGCACCAAATAGCACTGATACTATGATAAAGTTACAATTTGACTTAAAATACAGCCATAACGGGTGAGAACCTTATCACGAGATTATCCGTAGCAGCAGGTCTATACAGTAGGCACACCAAAAATAGCACAAATATAGCAAATGTTGCAGGTAAAGACTGCCAAAAAAATAACCCAAAATTGACACAAATGGCACTATGAATGGGAATTTAATGTAGTCGTGACGAAAAAAAACTGACAAAAATATCTCAAATTACACACGCCACCATAAAAAGGTGTCGTTCACCTCTGAAGACCTTGAAAATAGAAATTGGCACCCCCAGAAATGGAGGTCATTGAATTTTGTAGCTTGCAAATAAAATGTGATACCAAAATAATGGGGTTATTGACCTTTAATGAACTTGAAAATGCACTAGGACAACACAAAAATTGTGTCATTCCCTTATGATTTCCTTGATAATACAATATGACACTACAAAAAAAGGTATCAATGACCTGTAGTGACCTTAAAAGTAGAAAATGACCCCGCAAGGAGGTCATTGATCTCAATACCTTCAGAAATCAAATATGCGGCTATTGGTCATGAAAATGAAATAAAATTACAGAACTGAGGTCATTGAACTTCGACAACCTTGAAAGTAAAAATAGATGACATTACAAAAATGGGGTCATTGATCCCCGATGACTTTCAACGCGAATGCTCTTTACCTAGACCTAATTTAAAAGGCAACCGCCACGTCGCGACATTTAACCTTCACTTTTACCTACTTTCCAAAGTTTCCACCAGGTGGCCAGCGACCCTGAATTGAGCCAGGTTCGGCCACTATAATAGAGATTCTAATTTTTGACTTCTGAAGTTTCATGACAAAACAACATTATAGCTGATTTCAACAGAAGCACTATCAAAAAACAGCACAAAGGTAGCAGAAATCGAGTAACTCAAAGACAATAGCAGCGCAGAGTGAGTAACATAGCTGGACATCGCTTAGAATTCGCACGGTTGGCATTTGTAATGAAAATTGTTTTTCTCACTTTATAATTAAAATATTCCAGTTCCCTGACAAGAAATAGAAAGGTTCAAAGGCAACAGTAGCACAAAATAAATAAAAAATAGCATCAAGATATTATAATAGATTAACAGAATTTCCCATTGAGAGCACAGCCATAACAAAAAGGATTATATGAAGAGTAGCACTAAAATGGCATAATTAACCTTACGAATAGAAATAAAATGCTTCAATTGAAACTACGTACAGTTATTGGCTTGGAGCTTTCTAGTTAGAAATCAAATGTCCCAAAGAAGGATGACAATAGAAACAGAATTCAATTTCGTTTCTATTCAAGGTAACAATTAGACCACTCCCCCCTCTTTTTTTCTTTGTCTTTATGCCTTACCTATTTGCATTTAATTCCGCCATTTTGCCACAATTGTTCGCTAACCGTTTAATGTATGTAGGTGAAAAGAGATACGTACAATCGAAATCAAAATTGGGACACCCTATGCATTTTTTGATAGTGAACGCCCCCTCTCCATAGTTAAGAAATTACAATCAAATTGACCCCTAAACCTTTCTCTCTCTCCAAGAATGATCGGGCCCCCCAAACCAAAACCTAAATACGTAGCTTCCATGCGTGTGCCTATGTTTGGTTATTCTTAATGATAAATAATAAACAATGACATTGAAAGAAGAATAATACGTTCGGGTTTGGGCTCGGTCCGTGTTTCGGCAGGATTGATCGCCGTTCAAAGTCCAAAGTTTACTCGCCGCTCAAAATCCAAAAGTTCGCCGTTCAAAGTGCCGACGCCGATCAAAGTCAAAGACTGCTCTGCATACGCTGTCTATGACAACATTAACACTATTCGATATGTCTGTACGCCTGGGGACTTATAGCCCCCCCCCCCCAAATTTGCTATTGTTTACGTTTAGTTCGTTCGTCCGTCCGTCTGAACCCACTTCTACGGTTTTGAACTACTTTTAGGGGAATGGTCTTAGAGTCCTGGAATTTTTTTCAATATGTAGCCTATGCCTTGAAGGTGTATCAGACGGCCATCAAATTCAGCTGTCTCAAGGGGCGAGGGGGAGGGGGGGAGCATGAATTATTTCCTGAGATGTTGTTTTTGAAAGTAAAACGTGCATAACTTTTACATGCGACGGCCAACTGGTCTCAGATGGTGCATACGCATGCGTTTAGTGGTGCCAAATAACACTTTTGAAAATGGGGGAGGGGCGGGACGTGAACACACCCTTTCATGGTATTCTAATGAAATGTCTCACTGAAATGAATTGGTTTGTTCAAACTATAACTTTCCTATGTGACTCCTTTCCGAGATCAGTAGGTGGCCGGGGGTAGGAGGAAGGGGGTAGAAATTAATTTTACCTTTATTGGTAAAGTCTCCACATTACTCATTTAACAAGAAAGAAAACAACGATTTTCCTTTAGTCACTTTTAAAACAAACCGTAAAAAAATGCTTCACCGTTTTTTTTAGAAAACGAAACGCTCTTGTTTCTGAAAAATGAGTTCCATTTGTCTCTTTCAATTTATTTTGAAGAGTTTAGAAGTAATGAGAAATGCACATTATGAAAGGACTATAATTATATAAAGCAAATGATAAAACCGTTCTAAAAGGTTCTTCGCAGAAAAGTCCTTGATATTATGAAGTTGGAAATTTCATTTATCCATTAGTAGTGGAATCACAAGCTAATCCCACCTTCTCTATTTTCCCTCGCGAAACGCGCGAGATAATTCTGTTAGCAAACGAAGTGAAAAGCAAGAAACTAAAAGTCGGAGCCCCAAGATTAAGTTTAACTCCATGTCCAATTAAAAAAAAAAGACGCGCCTGTGTTAGTACCTACTCGAATTTTCGTTCAATCACATTTTTAGGAATATTTCCGTCGAGATTTAAAAAACACGAGCAATTAGCGGCTAGCGAAAAAAATAAATCAATTTTATTTCTTCTTCTCTTTTTTTCTCGTCGGAGCAATTTATGTACACTATACATCCGCAGACAAATAATTAAAATGTGTACTAGAGCCCATGGTATTTAGATATAAATCACTAAAAATCGCCTCACTTCTTGCGGAAACGACAACTTAATTTTGGTCGGGAAATTTATACGCGCGATGTTTAATTTATCTACAGCCCAAAAAAAAGGGAGGCATCAGAAAGCGGGCGCGAAATTTACATTTACAACAGAATCAATTGTTCGCCTAATTACAATTACGCGGTACCTAGATAAGACACTCTGGCATGTGTTTACTCGCACGCGCCTTTGATCAATAAACCAACTAAATCAGTTTTGAGATTAACTGCCAATATACGGTTTCCGTTTCGAAAATTTAATTAAATCCAAAAATTTATTACTATACGCGATCCTTATCAATGGCAACAGACATTATAATATATTATTATTTATAATAATTTTGAATGATCACATATTCTATGGATTTATATCTAATATGCCACAGCTTTCTGTTATATTCTAGAAAAAATAGAATTAATTAATCCTAATCACGCTTTTCACATAGATTTACTAAAAACACCTAAATGCGAAGAATCATCATGAGTATAAGTAGCGATCCCGAGCATCGAAGATGGTGGCCGGCGCTCGCCTCCGAAATCGCCTCGGCTGGAATGGTTTCCTTGATGATGATGTCAACTGCAATTACAAAAAATGTTAATTTTCAACGTGTCACCATTACTTTTCACTTTTCAAACAGTAAATCACCCCCCTGAATGTTACTCAAGCACGCAAGTTGCTTAATTACGTGTAAGTACAAAAAAAAGAATTCCAACAGAAATAACTTTTTTTATTAGGTACACCTTCTTGAATAAATTGGTGGTATTAAGGTCATAATTTTAACAATGGGTATGTGGAGGTACCACCCAAGTGCTTTTTGAATTCGGCATTTACCGCACCTTTCAAACCAAAACGCGCACTAAACAGAAGCATTCCTAATTGCACCTTTGTTACAGGCTACGTTTTGTCCATTTAAAGTAATTTCCCTTTCATTTAATGCATAGGAAGTTCCTATTGTAGCGTTAATAAATGTATTTTTAGATTGGAATTTGAGATAAGGCGTGTAAGTGCGCGAAGGGTGCGCCAAGCTAGTTTAAAACAACGCACCTCTTTCTGTTTTTGAGAGACTCCGGTAGTCGATGATGAGAAGATTGGATGGTTGCATACGAGCTGGAGGCAACCATTTTGAACAATTTTTGTCGCATGTTTAAAAAAACATGCTGTATATCGTAGATATTGTATACATGCCAGGCGGCCTGTAAATGTTCATGTGTACATCTACCAAGAAGATAAACATCGATTTATATAAGATAATAGATAACACACAATTTGTACTTCTTCTAGATCGCTCCAGTAAATTGCTGCTTTCACTTTTATTTAATTTGACAGATAAAAATGAACCCTTAAACTGCCGCGCCCAGGTGAATTCTATAGTGGTAGAGCCAACGCCGACTAGACCGAAGATGATGAAGCAATTAAATATTTGGATGTGTGTTACTCCCAACCATACGTACTTTACGTTCTGATTGAATTCTCGAACCTGCGTCAGTATGCGCAAGAGTTGCATTTTGTCCAAAAGAAAATAGCAGTCCTCCGATTACTTTCCGGTCAGTACACGACAGCCTAAGAAGGCATTTCCGATTGACGAAGAGATTAAAGGACAGATAACCGTCTATCCATCCCAAGCCTTTGCCTTCACCACATGACGCCTTACGCATCCTCGAGAGTTCCAGAATACAACAATTTATCATTTTTAAAGGACACAAGGGTTTAGGCGAGATTTTATTGAGCATTACAAAATATACAGTGTGGCCTCATTAGAGGGCAGAGTTCTTCAAAATTTTGTTGCGTAACATTTTGGGGGAATGGTCCTAGATTACAGTCCTGACTAAGTAACTGCGTATGAAGCTTAGAAACGCCAACTTGTCGCGCCATAAGATGGGAAGTACGTGAAAGTCCGGCTGAATCACATCTCTTGTTCTCTAGCATGGGTTTTTGCAGAATCCGTGATAAATTTCCATTAGGATACGTCCGAGGTGTCTAGAAAACTGATATTGTGGGGATTCGATTAGACGAGAGAATGAATTCTATTGGTAAAAGAAAGCCGGATGTCCAATGGGCGCAATTTTGTGCAAAATGAATGTGGCGTAGACGTGTACATTTGAAGATAGACGTAGGGCATTACGCGGATAGCCACGAGATAGTTCACAGATTAAAAAGTTGGTATTGGGTGGTTATTTTCACTTAGCGAAAAATATTCAGATTGGGCCGAAAGACAGCTGCGGGAAAATTCGCTTCAAGTTGCGAATAAGACGGAAAGAAAGCCGCTGATCGCCACGAAAGAGAGCCCGTCGGCGATCTAAGAAACTCTAAGTGAATCACCCGTGAGTGTGTGTGAGTGTTAGGTCGTAGCGAAAAGAAATTAAGTTCAAGCAGAATTAAATTTGAAACCGAAAAGGTGTCGCGTTAAAGAGCGAGATAAATGAAGCTAACTCGGGATTTTTTTTTCTTTTTCACGTTCAGGTTTGTACCTCCTATAAACTACCAGGACTTTTTTCTAAATTGCGAAGTTTTGGATTTTCAATCTCAAAGTATAAGTGGCCAAGAAGAAACTAATTCAATACAGATAACGGAAGTTGTAAAGTTATCGCGAATTTGCACTCTTGCCACCTGAACCTAAGAAAGTGGACAAAAAATAAACAACATAACGTAAATCCGGCGCCGCATTTTATCAGTTGTAGACAGATAACCCATTCTCGATACCAAATTCGTTTTCCGGTGGATTGCGTAAATTTTGCAATCACGTGAAATTTCCTAAAAAAAAAGCCAAACCTTCTTCTTTTAAGAAGTACGAAGTTTCCACTCATTTCTTGTCCTTTATTGGTCAACTTGTTGAAGATTTTAGCTACTGTTACTTGCTCTAGTAGATATGGTATGCTGGACCTGACTCAGTACAAGGTTGCTTGCCAACTGGTGGTTACTATGGAAAGGAGGGCAAGGTAAAGGTCGCGTGCCACGTATTGTTGACCTTGAAAAGTATATCGAGGTGATGATCAAGGGCATTAGTTTCCAAAGTCATTGGACCTCAATGACCTCATTTGTTGTGTTGTCATATTTCACTTTGAAGGTTACCAACGGTTTAACAACTTAATTTTGTGAGGTGTCACTTCTCCACTCTTACACTCATTACATGCAAATGACTATATTTGTGGTGTCATATTTCACTTTCAAGGTTCAATAACCTCAATTGTGTGTAGCGTCCTACTTTATTCTCAAGGTCATCAGATGTCAACACCCTTTTTATGGTTTTCAAGGTCCAAACAAAAACAACAAAAGGCGCACAGTTATTGAAAAGCAAGAACTACGGACAAAATGTGTCGTTGATCTCTGATGACCTTGAAAATGAAATAAAACACCCCAAAACACTGGGATCATTGTTCTTCGTTGATATTGAAAATGAAATATGACAGCGAAAGAAATTGAAGTCAACTTTGGAATTAAAATATGGCACCACAAAAATAGAAAGAACTATGGTCTTCTACTGACCTTGAAAATGAACTGGGACAACACAAAAATCGGATCAATGACCCCCTGATTGCCTTGAAAATGAAGATACGACAAAAATGAGGTCATTGAACTTGTGATTAACATGGGACACCGCACATAATAGAGGTGTTGACCTTTGGTAATCTTGAAAGTCAAATATGACAACCTCCGTTGACCTTAGAAGATAATGCCCTTAAGCATTACCTTGTCCTATCCTCCAAGGTCACAGCTATGTGGCTTGCGACCTTTGAACCACCACCATCAGGTGGAGAACGACCTTGAACTGTGGAATGCAAGGCGTACCTCGGAAAAGGAATTATTTGCACGGAATGTAAATTTGTGGTACCGGTCTGTTAATTGACGCCAGAATTAGACTTAGCTGTGTAAGTTATTACGCAAACATTTCTTACCTCCCGATTACAGGCCTCGCCTATTGCAGGAAATCGTATCTAGAGTTCAGGGCGTGAAATGTCTGAAGTTGGAAGTGAAAAGGTATCGAGCAGATCATTATCAGGTGTCACCCCGTTTAGGCTACCTGAAAACGAGCTGAACTATCATGTGTTAGTTTTGCTGCAGATGTGACACCCGTACTTGGGGGAGTGGGGTGAATTGCTGCAACTGTCCGAAACATGGACATATTACCCGGAAACAAAACACTGCTTCACTTGTGGTACACCTGAAGTCACATGTCGTGAGTGTGGGAACTGTTCTCGTAGATGGGGAAACTACCACAGGGGATGGTAGAAGGGGACCGTGTTCGTTGTTTGTTAAATTATGTGTTCTCATATGCTCAGGGGAATGAGAGATCTCACATTATGGTCCATATATTGAGATTATTAGATTCGGGAGCTACAAAGAGTGTGACTGGGGAGGATTTGAAGGGGAATTGGTATGTCGTCTCTATTAAAAGCCGATGTTAACAATCTTACAGTAGCCATGTGTTTGTCTGGGTGTCCTTCGACTACGCGTTAGCTTGAGGGAGGTGGTGAAAATCCTCGATATATTAGTGGTTCCTAAATTAACTCAGTTTCTGGCATTGAGGGTGGGCTTTTGGTAATGAGATCAAGCGACCCTAATATTGAGGTTTGCTAGTTATTTGCTTGTTAATTAATCATTGTCTTATCAATAACAAATTGTATTTTGATTTTAGGGAATTGAAATACACAGCCTAACGATTAGTGTTTTATCTATTCCTTACTTACACCAGCTTGAAGAAAATACTTTTTGCATTCCCTTAAGACCTTTCTAAATCGACAAGACGTCAACCGATACAAGAATAGATAAATCATAAAGGAGGTAGAAGAGATATAATAAGGAGAGAGAGCCACGCAAATCGGATGCTGCAACATAAAGTTCGAGTGTTGTTCTTATTATAACCGATGCTTTATTTCGACCGAATGTCATCCATAGAGTCGGCATTTCGAAATTGGCCAACAAACTCCATCGTAAAGAAAACAAAAGCTTCTGGAAACATCTGACTCGTTCCGTTAACGAAAAGATTACGTCCCACTTTCGCGACGGCTATATTAAAAGCGCCGGTAGTACAACGAAGAGGCGCCCCCCTCATAAAAATAAAACGAAAAAATACTTACTAATAACGGAATGCTGCCTAATATCGGCATATTTCTCATTGTGGTTCACGTATCCCGGTATAGTCGAAATGCAAGTGAGCCGTAAAACTCCATCTTCTCCGCCGTGTAATTCAGATACTTCAACCGATAGCTGGGTCGTCGATGATGATTTTCGTTCGAAATATCCGTGCCCGTGCAGCCGTCCATTTGAAAAGGGTTTTGTCAAACTGTCATCGACCTAGAAAAGTACACAACGCTTCTTTATTATCAGATTTGAGCTAAAGGGAAATCAATACATTATCTTTACAGAAAAGATTAAGCGACATGTTTTCATGTACGAAAAGGAAAAGAAACTTTTCTGAGATAATATTGACTGGGAGTTTCCCCAACGTTAAATAATGAAAACCAATGGCGAAATTTTATTTCGCTTTCTCAACGTAGCATTTACAAATTCCCTTTGGAACATTAACTCCTACTTCCCTTCCAATATACCAACTGCCTTATTCATTAGAAAAGGTTGTTTTACTTACTCGACAATAAACATTTACGCCACAAATTCTACTTTTCTTGTTAGAAATTGTTCTTTATGATCTAATCAGATATTCAAGCTTGGAGAGACACCCTTGATTGCGAATTGTAAATAAGTACGCAATTAGAGTCTGGGAGGGTTTCGTAACGTAATGCAGAAATTATGTTCTTTTTGACGAAAGTAATTTATCGTCATAATTCTAAGGGTGATTTATTGACCTTAAGCAGCATCTTTTCAATTCATACAGTCATATTTAGATTTTTCATTAGTAAACTCTATACTCAAACCGATCATTCCACGTCTTACGGGAAACAGCCCTTCAACTTCCAAGTTTAAGACCTATGATTCCAAATTCAAAATTCCAGATTCAAGATCTTAGAAGTTCAAGAAACATCCAAATGGCCTGAATTTCAGGACGCCAATTGCGTTCGTTGTTTGTTAAATTATGTGTTTTCGCAAGTTCAAGGGGATGAGAGCTCCCCTATTATGCTCAATATATTGGGATTATTAGATTCGAGAGCTACAAAAATTGTGATTGGGGAGAATTTTAAGGGGAATTAGTGTGCCGTCTCTATTAAAAACGGATGTTAACAATGTTAGAGTAGCGAATTTTGAATCATGCGCTTGTCTGGGTGTCCTTCGAGTACCAGTTAGATTGAGGGAGGTGGTGAAAATCATCGATATTTTAGTGGTTCCTAATTTCAGTTGAAGGTGACGAGCAAATAGGTACGGTAGGGATCTTGAAATCTAGAATCTGGATCAGGACCAGAAAATCCAGCTGGAAGATAAAATAGAACCAATTAAAGAGTTATTACCCGGTATCGCCAGCATTATAATAATAATAATAATAATAATAATAATTTATTGTGAAAAAACATAGAAAATTTTCACAAATGGAAACAGAGTTCGCCATAGGCGATCTTCCACTCTTCCAGTAAAGACTGTGACATAATATGCTTAAATAAAGACAACATTCTTTGACATGAGACGCATAACATGATCTAATTATCATAAATATACATGCTTGAAAACACTAAAAAATAATGAAAAAAATAAAGAACAAAGAAAAAAAGAATTGCACATTTCGTACCTATTTAAACATTATTAACAATGGTATTCTAAAAAATTAGCTTTTATTTCAAAAATGATCAAAACACATGTCAAATATTATTTTTTTGAAATTATCCAAAGATAAACTTAGGTGTTCTTGAATTTGATTTAAGGTTGAAACAGCAATGTATGTGAAACTGCCTCGAAATTTTTTTGTTCTGTATTTGGGTATTGTGAGACTATCAATTCGCAAGTTCACTGCATGCCTACTTGACCGCTTTTCTAAGGTTTCCAGTAAGTATCCAGGAGAACCACTTTTACACAATTTGTAAAGAAAGATGCATAGCAAATAGTGAATTCGTCCTTTCACATTTAATAAATGGATTCTTTCAAGATAAGGGCTTACATGGTCTCTAGAAGGTATACCTAAAGCGAATCTAAAACACGCATTTTGCAAGCGTTGTAATTTGTGTTTATATTGTTGCGTAAGAGAATTGTAATACACCAAACTACAATATTCAAATATGGGAAAAATAAGAGTTTGTATCAACTTCAGTTTTGTATCCACTGGTAGATTTTTCAAGTGATAAATTGCTTTTAATTTAGAGAAGCCCAACCCATATGCTCTATCGACATGCTTTTGAAAAGATAGGTGTTCGTCTAAGATGAGCCCTAGGTTTTTCGTGTGTGTTACCCATTTAATTGCCGCACCGTTTAGTTTTAAAATATGACAGTTTAAATTAATTTCATTTGTCCTCATTCTATTTGATATGCAGAGGGCAACAGTTTTGTCTGGGTTCAGACATAATCCATTCCTATTGCACCAAAGATTTATATTGGCTAGGTCATCATTGATTTTAGTTATGACATGAGTCATATGAGTTATGTTGCATGCTGCATATAATTGTATGTCGTCAGCGTACATATGTGACTTGCAGTACTTTAGAGAAATTGTTAAAAGAAATCGATGTTGAACTTCAGGAAATGTTGGGCAAAGGTGGGTGAACCATTGACGAGTCCATGGAGCAGTCCAATTCTAATGGTGGTGGTGTTGGCATCCGTACCGCCCCCGTTCTCGTGCCCGCATATCCGCGTCGGTTTGGGCGAACCTTTAGCTATCAGGCGCGATGCCTATCCTATGCTTTACATTTCTAATATTCTAGATAAATTAAGAGATGCTCGTTCCCTGCTGAGCCTAGATATGAAGTCAGTATACTGGCAAACTAACCCTGATGGGAAATCTCGTCACCTCGCCACTTTTGAGCAACACATGGAGGTTTTAGGTAAAGCATTTAAACGCTTGCAAGCCGGAAAATTAGATTTAAATAAGGAGAAATGGCAGTTCTGTAGGAGCGAATTGCAGAAGTTCGGGCTTTAATTGGAACGTCGTGGTACAGAAGGTTCATCCCAAACTTTGTTCTAGCCGCTCACGGAGATCCTGAAGAGGTCATCAACATTTAAATTGAATGAAGAAAAATAAATAAAATAAATAAATAAATAAATAAATAAATAAATAAATAAATAAATAAATGAATAAATAAATAAATAAATAAATAAATAAATAAATAAATAAATAAATAAATAAATAAGTAAATAAGTTACGGCACTTGCCGGCTACACCATCCTGGTAGGAGACAGGACCTGCAAGTGGAAACGCTCGTAGAAAACATCCTTTTTCTGGCCGAGAAAATTTACGACAGAATAGATAACTCCGACCTCGAGCACATATGAGACATACCATCTGTGGCCGGAACACAAGAGCGAAAAAAAGCAGCCTAGGAGAGTGCTACAAGGAAACTAGGAAACACGCATCCATTACAGTTTCGCCAATGGCGTTAGCATGGATAACGCTGTAAAATGGATTCCGTGCCTACAAATCCAATGGGTGACTGGAAATGGAAAAGCGCATGGCTCCAAAAGCAAAAATTCACACCCTCCAAACCCTCATAAGGATACAAGACAAAAAAAACAAGCTTTAAGCAGTAGAAGCTATATAGGTAGGGCTGCTGAAATATGGATGGCCTGCGGCAACCAGCCCACCGATCACGATATGTTTTGCATAGGCGACCCAATTACCATCCTGCCGTCGCAACTTTATGGTTTATAATTTAAGTTTCACAGTTCAAAATTGAAAGAGGAAGGTAACACGGTTTAAGATGTTCCAGATTGACATTTCAATGCTCAAGGTTAAATGGTCAACGTTGTAGCTTTCAATTGAAGGTTCAAAGTTCGAAGAATCTAAGCGCAAGACCGATTTAAGACTGGAGCTCAAACATTCGAAACTCAAGATTTAGAATTTAACGGTCAATAATTGCCATCTAGATTTAATGGTCAATATTCAAAGAAGCAAGGCTCAAAAGTGAAGGATGAAGAGCCAAGAATCACAATTTATAATTTATAATTTATAATTATATATAATATAATTAATATAATATAATATAATTAATATAATATAATATAATATAATATAATATAATATAATATAATATAATATAATATAATATAATATAATATAATATAATATAATATAATATAATATAATGCAATAATAACGGACACGAGATCAAAAATTTGAGTTACGGGTTCTGGGGATTCAACGCATAAAGACCAAATTACAAGATTAAATCTCTAAATCCAAGGCATAAGTTGAAATTGCAAGGTTCGTAGTAGAGTCAAAACGGAAAGGGCAAGGTCTAAGGTGCATGCTTAAGGTTTAAGGTTCAAAGTTCAAGACACAATGGTTAAAAGAATAATCAGGTTTAAGTTTTAAAATGTAATCTAAGATGGAAGTTTCCAAATCGATATTAAAGTTTAATTCTTTGGGTTAAAAAACTTGGTCATGGTTAAAATGGTCTAAAGTCAGGTCAAGGTCTAAAAGTCAAGATTTGAGATACTTTGATATTCAAGGGTATATCGTCAGAGGTGTAAGGTTTAAGGTTCAACATACGAATTTTCAATGTTAAAAAGTTAAGATTCAAAGTTCAACTCGAAATTCTAAAATCTAGACTTGTCAAGCTTCCAAATTTGTAATTTAGAGTTCACAGTTCAAGGTTCATATTTCAAAATTGAAAGTTGCAAATATAAAGTTCAGGCTTGAAATTCCATACCACGGATTTCAGTATAAATAAATAAAAAAAGAATGAATAAATAAATAAATAAATAAATAAGTAAATAAACAAGTATTTACTTATTTATTACATACATTCATTAGTGTATAAATAAAATGCTTACATAAACAAACAGATGAGTTTATTAAGGATCCTCAGATCCTTTATAGTTTTGTATTGTCGTCCGTCCGTCCGTCCGTCCGTCCGTCCGTGTGCGCTCTAACTCTTTTTAAAAGTGGCCGATTGTGTTGAAATTTGGTATACGGGTACGTTGGACATTAAGAACGGACGCTATTGATTTTCAGGAAGCTGGTTCAACAGGAACAAAAGTTATACGACTTCGAGTGAATCGGGAATAGGAAAAACTGCGAACTCAATATAATAAAAATTAACATATTTCATTCCCTAGGTCATGTATCGAGTTCGGACTTTCGCTAGATTATTCCCTATGACTCTTAGACTCTTAGATGTGTAACTCTTCTCTGTGGTCTCGGTCAAAAGTTTTAGAGCAAAATGTACCCAAAATTATTCTTTACACATGAATTTAGAGTT